AAAATCAATTGATCTTGGAATCCTTATATTTTTCAATGGATGTCCAAGTGAATTTTGAATTATTTTGTGCATCATTACACTGCCAGGATGACCCAAACGGTCATGCCACAAAATGAATGTTTTCTGGTCATCTAATTTTTTATTAGAGACAACATTCACTTCAACGGGACTAATGTGAGTATAATATAGCCCCGAGGAATACGCTGGCATTTTTTCACAAAGAATTTTATTGCCAGATTTGGTTGTCGTTAGACACAAGTATTCCTTTTGATTTTCTGTCATGGTTTCAATGTGATAACCATTTTGACGCATATCTTTAAAGCTCAATAAATTCCTTCGGGATTTGCTGGAATATAATGCGTCTTTGATAATTAATTTTGTTCCTTGGGGAAGGATTAAACAAGCCATTCCAGACCCTTCAATGAGTTTTGCAACACCAGAGATTGTATTGACATTAGTTTCCATCAATGTCATTTGAGAAAAATATTCTTTGTTTCTCAAAATGGTATGCGTTGTGGCACTGTCAATTAGACATTGTTCTTTGTCACTGGAGCCATAAGCAGTTATCTCCATATCTTGAATATAAATAAATATATAAATAAATATAAGTTCAAGATAATTAACACAAATATCATACATTTTATTATAATTTTTAGAACAGACATAATAATACAAGTACACATGAAAATTAAAGTACAGATTTTAAACATTTATTTTAAAAGTAAACACACCATAACAGCGTAAATTAAAATATTTAAACATTAGTAGTTCCACCAAAGGCCACTTCATCACCAATTTCAGCATCATCCATGTAGAAATCGGACACGTCAAATTTAGGCAAAATTGGATTGATATCATCAGCATAATTAGCCTCCACATTTTTTCCTTTTCCTTTTGTGGAAGCTTGGTATAATTTTACCAAGTGTTTTGCCGTTCGACATTCATTCGCCCAATGTCCTTTTATGCCACATTTGTAGCATTCACCACTTGGTTTTGGCTTTTCATGAGTTTTAACATGTGGTGGTTTGAATTTTCCTTTTCCCTTGGAGGATGATTCATTTGAATGTTTATATCCCCTATTTGGCCCTTTGTTGCGGTTATTTCCGCGTCCACGTTTAAAGTGTCCGCGTGCACCACCTTGAATAACATTTGATTCTGGTGCTGAACCACGATCAGGATGACCAAAATTTGTAGGGGTACAACCGGTGGGCCTCATGTTATGATTTTTCATTAAGAGCTCATTATTCTGCTCAGCAATAAGTAATATTGAGATTAACTCAGAATACTTTTTAAA